AATCCTCGGGACAGGTGGTTGCTAATCAGCAAATCGAAATAGCTGATCTGCAATCGCTCTGTCGTATGTTAAGCAGGGTAAGAATTACACACATCTACAACAGTTGCGACTGTAATATGAAAATTGTCTCTGTAATATTTCCTGTCTTTTTTTTCTCTGTTGAAGGATTTGGACAAAAGCCTAGCCGCGCAGAAAGCCTTGCTGCAACAGCAACAGGAATTGGAAGCCGAGTCAGCCGAGATGCAAGATTTCCTCCAAGAAGAGAAGGCCACCTTGGCGGATGCACTCAAGGACGCCGAATTGGAGGTGCGTATCTTTTAAATTCGCTTTTTGAAATACGAAAAATGTACCGTTTGTTTCATATTTGTTTATCTTTTGTAGCTCAAGAAGAAGGGGGAAGCTTTAAGTCAAAGAGAGACGGAACTAGAAAGGCAGACGGAGGAGTGTAAGCATTTAGTGCGAATTAGCGAACAAAGAAGGTATGTATCGTATGAAAACTGTTGACAATATTTATATTAAACGTTATAAATTGTATTTTAACGATTACTTTTTTGTCCGTTTTTCTTTTTAGGCAAGAGAATTTATCAATGAGCCTAAAATTGAGTGCTGTCGAACGAAGAAGTAGGGAACTTCTACTCACTCAGGGCGCTGCCATGTCCGGAGCGGCTGTAGCTCTCTCCGGACTTAGTACCAGATTGGAAGGATTAATAGATCAATTGATTGCGTCGTATAATATCTCAATAAAGGATCTTGAGGTAAGCATAACGATGGAAATGCTCTTTTCTACGCGAACAATTTTTCCCTTATAAATTTAATAATTAAGAAATTATTTTCTTCGGTCATTGTTAAATATAATTTTTTTAAAATATTTTTTAAAATAATTAAGATATTATTTTCTTCGGTTATTATTAAATGTAATTTTTTTTCTCCCCAAAAAGGATGTTATATATCATAACGAAGCGTACAGCAGAAGTAACAGTAGCGTGGAGTCTAGTCCGGTTAGCTCTAAGCAGAGTTTAAAGGAACGCACGCCGAGCCCGAAGAGCGGGTCTTTCGTTTCCGCGGTGATCAGCGCTATTCGGAACGCCGCGACGCATCCGTTCGCTGCGAGAAACAACATCGATAAAAAGTCCAGTTTAGATTCGTCTAAACAGATTTACAAAGGTAATGTAGGCTGCAAGTAAGATTACGATAAGGAGATGATATATTCAGATGTGTTAAAGGTACAACTTTTATTTTCTAGAACTAAGTATGGAATCGTCATCCGACTTGCTTGACTTTGAGACTGAGCCGTGTTTGATGATGGAAAGCGTTCTGGAAGACGTACCTTTGCCGGACACGTATTCGCACAATATGGTGTCGAGCAGCGATTCTCTCCGCCGAGCACTGAGCTTCTCCGAAGCGTCGGACGAGCACACAAGGAAGACGAAGTACGGCGACGAGTGTACTAGTCTCACGAATCTCACCCAGGCAATCTTGCATCGCCGTAAGGCAAGTGATCTGAAGTGAAATCAAACTCGAAAAGTGAAAAGTTAAAAATACATACATCATATTAATAATTATTATTATGTGAAAATTTGCAGGTGGAGGACGAGGGCGACGACGATTGCGACTCTGTGAGCGAATCTGACACCGGGACCAATGACGGTCCTGTACCCTTGACGGATTACTGTCCATCCGTGGATCTGGTCGATCAAGTGATCGAGGTGGACAATCTCGTTACCAAGCTTCTAAAAGTGCTGCGAATTATACAGCTCGACAACGATACGTGCATACAGGAATTGAAAGAGGACAAGTGAGTTCAATATAGACCCGATACGAAATTGCAACAATTAATCGGCAATAATTAATCGATTGAAACGTCACTATTTTGCAGGTCTAACTTGGAGATAAAATTAGAAGCCGCCGTAACGGAGTTGAACGAGCTTCGCAAGATCATCGATAATCTTCATCAGACGCCGGAAGATGTCCTGAACAACGTGCCGGATCGGCGACGCAGCGTTGTGGAGAATTGCCGGATTTTGCTCAAAGAAGTAATCGCCGGCGATGTCGCCGATACATTTTTATAGTATGCTTCCCCCACGCTACTGCCATATCTCCAACATAAATTATTGACTTTCCTGCAAGAGCTGTCAAATGATATAATTCCCCTGTAAGGTAAGGAGAAATTTTTAAATTTAACGAGGCCGTACTTGCTGTTAATAGCAGTCTCGGCGAGATAGACTGAGGTCCTCTCGATGTGATCGGGGCGATTTTCGCTTAAATATATTTTAATATATCTTATTACTTTCTTATTCTTCCTAACTATTTATAAATAATTTCAATTCTTAAGAATGCCCATGTCAATTTTGAGAGGCTGAATTATTATAAACATCGACGAACGTTTTATTGTTAGTTATAAAAATGGAATTTCTAATTTTGGCGTGAATCAATTTTTAAAAGAACTCAGCGTATGAATTTTGAATTACATATACTCTCCCTTTTATCGTAACTATACTTTTGTGCGCTTTATAGTGTTAATTCCAAAGCTGAACATAATAGTGTACATGTGTATATTGATACCGACGATTGTACGTCGAGATTGCAAAGAATCAAATTTTAACGAATACGGGCTCGTCGCTGTTTTTAAAACAATTGTACAAAAAAAAAGATTATTTAAAGAATAAATTGATTTTAATTAAAATTACTATCAACTATATATGGTTAACTACGTAGCATGTAGAACGATATTTAAAGGGTATTTAATTTGCTGATTTTACATTATATTTTTTCCCATCAGCATTGAGCAAAATACATTCACGAATAACGATTTTGAATATATATTTGTAAATGTATTAGCGTATGTAAAATATATATTTTATATGTCTAAATTATATTTATGTCTAAATGTATATTTAACATATATTTGAATACATTACGTGATACGCTGGCACACCTTTTGTGAAAATATGGAATTGTAAATCGTTATTCACGAATGTATCGTATCCAATACTGATTCCCACCGAGTTGATCGTAAAATTTTATGTTCAATATATAAAGTAATTCTGCAATATGTAAAATTTATTAGTTTCATAAATAAAAGATCAATTTTAAGATTTATTTTAGTTACAATTTTTCATTTGTGATGAACAGGGTATCCTACATTTAAGTCTTAATCTGTTGCATAATTGAAAACATGATAAAAGGTATCTGAATTCTATTCGCCATCATTCTTGTATTCGCCATTAAATTCTATTATCTTAAATTTAAGATAATAGCATTTAATGGCGAATACAACGAGTGCAAGATACTATCGGGTAAAACGGGTAGAATTCAGATACTTTTTATCATGTTTTCGATCATGCAACACTTATCACTGTATGACATCTGAGAAGATAGTGAAATTTTACGATAAATCCGTACATATAAAATAAAAATGCTTAAAAAGCTTCTTAATAGGCGAGGAGAGAAAAAAAACGTTTGTGCGATATTTTGTGTGTTGCGTCGTAAATACATATGTGGATACTGAAGCAACGCAATCGCCCATTTACATTGTATACACTGGATAAGGTCAAGATGAAATCGTCGTTTCTGTAATTTCGTGTATTTTAAAAAAGCCATCTTTTAAGTTACAGAGAGAAATAAGCTCGGCGGATAACGCTAATATTAGCGCGTTTATTGATACTTAAGACACCATATAAATGCGTGGTACGACATCGAGTCGATCGCGTCGATCATACACGTAACTATTCTACGAGTACTCGTCCATCATCCCTGTAGATGCAGATATCCTATCCCTGTGGAAAGAGAGAGCACGGTACTTTTCAAAAATCTTATTTGAGAATGCATATCATGTATAGTTTGAAACGCCAGAATGATTGAAAGTGATTGCGTTGGAAGGAAAGGGAAATACCGTTTTCTTAATGTATGCTATAGGAATCGCGTATTGCGTATTGGAATCGCGAGCATCGAGCGATCGTTTTAGTGCACGCTCGTGCCTTGCGCATGACGTATGCTACGTATCAGGGGCGCCAAGAAATTCGCCAACCGTACAGCTGGTTGTCTGGAACACAAAGAAAGTCGAGAAAGTGAATATACACAGTGAATTATTTTTTATAATTATATTGAAAGATTGAAAATTATACGCGTGATACGCGGATTTGCAATAAGATCGCAGAATTAAGATTGATAATAATAATTATAATTAATTGTATCAATAAAATTGATTATCAGAACAGCGACACCGAAGCAGATGGATTTCTTACTTATATAGAATTGTCTTCGAGATCGGCAAGTCGGTTTTATTCTGGAGGCTGTCGATGGCGGGCTTGTCCGGCTCGTCGATGGACTGGATGGTCGAGGATGCGTGGTCCTGGCTGGAGATCGGCAAATTGGGCTGCGAGGTGCCACCGGCGGCGCCGGCCAGCAGCAGTGCCTCGACCGGCGCGAATACGAATACGAGACCGTCCAAGTGGATGCGGTAGTTGTCGGTCCCGTTTTGCCGCTGGTCGTAGTACTCGACGATGTCGGAAATCGTGGGCGTCGGCGCGGCGGTGGCTACAGCTGCCTCATCCTGCGGTATCACCTCGGAAGCGATCTCGGGCTTAGCCTCGGTCTGGGACTCGACCTTGGACGCGGTCTGCGACTCGATCTTGGACTCAGTCGTGGACTCGGCCAGCTTGTCGGTGACGGGTAAACACTGAACGCTCGCGCCGAAGAACGCGATGAGCAGCACGGTCTTGAACACGCGCATGTTGATTGATAACATTGATGAGCGGCTACTTGTCGAGCTACCTTCCACTCGACTGCAACTCTCGTGTGCTTATCGGTCCCTTGACCTTCACTCTCTTGACCTCGGTCTGTCTTCTATCTGTCCAGTCCTGCCGTCTACTCGGTTCCGATTCCTGAGTTATGACCTTCTACACGATCCCGCTTGAAGCCGGTGACTTCGGAAACAGACTGCAGGACGCTTCCTGTTTTCGGCTCCGAATTTGCCGAGTTATTTCTTACTCGACGGGAACGTGGGGTCGGGCCAACCACTTTTTGCGACTCTTAACGAGATGACGCCCGGGAGCGTGATTGGACCAGTACCGCGAGATGCGACGGGCGGGCGAAACGACGTTGGAGAACGTGTCCGGACAACACGGTGGATGCTCGAGGTGTGATGACCGGGCGATGTCTCGTACCAGAAGACGATTCCGATCCCCACCTGGGCGATCCGAACCTGAGCCTTCCTCTTCGGTCGGTTCTAGAAACGGATCCCCGGAAAAGTTCAAGAACCTCGGCGTACTGATGGCAACCTGCCGGTCGCTAACGGCACATACATCGTCACGGCACTGTTGATACGCTGTAAAACTCTTGTAATTTATGCAAAGATCGGAGGAGAGATTCGCTTCAACTTGATTAAATCTGAGCTATACCTTCCCAATTCGCAATTTTGTGGACCAACGTTTCGTATAAAGTCGACGATACATTCGAGAAGGTATATTATTTTACATTAAAGAATACTTTTACTTAATAACGAGTTCCCATGTTTTTTTTTTCTCATCATCTCTCAATTCTGAGATTGAGAATTTTTAATACGCAAAGTTTCTAATTAAAATTGATGAAAGATTGTTATTTGTAATGTCAAATATAGATAAAGTCTTGTCATTTTTTGTTTTCAGTCACTCGTAATTCAAGAACTTTTCATCTTGCGGCTAATTGCATTTTTCTCCATTTGAGTCTCCAGGTGAGAGAAGAGCAACGCGCGAAGCTGGAAACGATCCTCGTGATATTCCTCGAGCATACTCCTCCTCTCCTTATTATATTCGGATTACAAACGAAACCGCCATCGAGGGAAAGGACCGTGATGGTATATTAATAGCGTTAACGATATTCAAGGATGGAGACGCCGCGCCGCCGGTGGGACTGCTGAAGCTGGCTCCTGGTCCTCATCAGCGACGTATCAATCGCGCGTCGAATGTCCCTCGCGGCGATAACCAGTTTTATTCAAAGGAAAAGGAGGAGCGAGTAGACGGTAAGGGGGAGGAAGGGGGAAACGCGATGATGCCAAAGACAGAGCGTAATAGTTATCACACGCGTTGCGCGAATATATATACATACGCGATGTACGTAGGTGTTGCGCACATCTATATAGTCACCAATCTCGTGTAAAGGGCAATGTCCTATCGTGGCCGTTCGCGGTGGAGTTCGTTTCCCCGATCTACCGTCTCGCGGCTTGGCGCCTATTACCGTAACCTTGCCCTTGCTCTTTCTCTCCTCTCGCTCGCGCTTCCGCCTCGCGAACCTGGGAACCGAATCATCGCCGCCGGTTCATTGGGGAACGACCAGGAACGACCTTCGGTTTCTGGAAAATTCCTGGGGCCGGTATGCGATGGTTCCCCCGCCTCCTCTTGCACGGCTGCCTCCGTCTCTCGGATTGGCGACGATCACGACTTAAAAAATTCCCAGGGTAAAGATCCAATTCCCGATAGGCGCTATTTATATATACCGCGGCGATAAGAAAAGAACGAGTAGAAAAAGTACAGAAAGAGGAAAAAATAGCACGGGTAATCTTTATACACTTCTATAATCGCTAAGAGAGCTTATTTGAATATGGAAAGGAAAGTAAAAATTAAATTACAATTAAATTAGAGTTGTAGAGGGATTAGATTTGCTAATATAAATTTTTCTTCCGCGATTTTCCCTTACATTTTAAATACACACCCATGTTGCTGTTGTTTAAATATTTTTATTGATTAAGTACCTTAATAGATACATGCAGTGTATAAATCTTCATACGTTCGTATAAAACTTTATATAAAACGATAATTATCTCGCATTCAGCGCGTTTTAAATGCTAAATTAAATTAATCAAATATAATTCGTTACTCGTTCCGTTCTGTCTTGCTCCTGCACTAATAAGCGAAAGAAATATTCTTTTTATCGATATAAATGCAATAGATCTGACATAAAATTTATGCTAAATAAAACATCGCATGAGATATCTCGCATAATAACTAGTATATTTTAATGTCAAATTTTTAAGAACTACAGCCATGTGTGGGAACTTAGAGCTAAAGGGAGTCGGCCGAGCCGTCGGATTCGCAGACGCCGGACGCGTCGCGACGTCGTCCTGGGCCGCAGTTCTCGACGCCGTCGCCCAGCAGACTCAGCTCCTGCTGCTGCTTCTCCTCCTCCTCCTCGGCGAGCGCCGGAGACACGTCGTTCTTGTCGACGTTCGACGCAGGCGGCGCGACGTCCCCCTCGCCCCTTCGAGGCAGCTGCTTCTTCAGCGACGTTCCCGGTCGTCCCGGCTCGTCGTCGGGATTCCAGACGTTCCCGACCACGTTCCGCGCCCGGCCGCCGTCGCCCGTCTTGGGCCTCCCGGACGTCTTCCTCACGTTCACGAAGTATCCCGGAACGGACGGCACCTCGCGGCTCTTCGGGAAGTCGAAGTTCTTCACATTTCTCGCGGCTCTCCCGGCCTCCTCCTTTTCCGGGGTCTGCCCGTCGCCGACGGGTGTCGGCCGCTGTTCCGAGACGCTCGACGTTTCCGCGTCCCCTTCCGCTTTTCGCACCGAGCTCTCCTTGTCCGGACGATTTTCATTTATCTGTACGACTTCCACGGCATAGGCGGGTGAATCGTCTTGCTGAACTGTCTCCTCGCCTTTGATCGATTCTTGTCCCTTCGAGCGGAATAGCGAGAGATCGAGGTGCTCGATAGCCGACAACGCCGGCTCAATTAAGTCGGAGTTAACCGGGGTCAGCGGGAAGACCGCGACGAAGAGGAGGTTCTCCAGCTTGACGTCCGCGTTGAAATTGCCGTTCTGCCGTTGATCGTAATATCTCTTCGGTGGAGCGGCGCCAACCTTGGCGAGCGCGAGGAGCGCCGTGCCGAGGAAGAACAACGTCCGGACCATCGCCATCCTCGTGGTGTATATACGTGGTGCCGTATCGATCGCACGCAAGGATCACGAGGTGCACCGCTGCGCTTCGATCTCTCGGAATACAATGCTCTGCGGGAAACGCGAGCGAGACGAGCGAGGTCCTTTCCGCAACTGCGACGATCGCGCGAGTAGCGGGCCCGCCGTACTCGCACTCCGGTTGTCGAGACCGTTGCTCGAACCGGTACACGGAATCTGTATGATAGGGGGATCCATTTCTCGCCGCAGGATTATAGGACACGCCACGTGTAGGAAACGTGGCGTGGGAAACGATACCGATCGCCGCCCGGTCACACCGACGCCGGATCGACGTACGGATCGGAACGTGTCGCGGATTTCGTGCGCACAGTTAATTGCGTGAGTTACAAACAAACGTTCAGACGGTAGACTCAAGAGTGACGATTAAGAGAGGAGCCAAGAGTTGAAATGAACGAAGGTAAAAAATGCAAGTGAGATAAGAATGAACGATTTGCGGTTCCTCCTGCGAGTATATTTTAATCAGGTTTTTTTACGTTTTTTTTTTTAGGAAAAATCCCGGATTTCGACGTTCGCCAATGTCAGGAAGCACGGCACTGTGCACTGTTAGGTCTGTTTTTTATAGCTGAACTGGCTTCAGAGTTTGTCTTTCTTCTTCCAATGTAGAAAGAGAAAGATAAACTGTGAGCAGCAGTTCAGCTATAAAAAACAGGCCTGTTAAATCCATAGTGTCAAATTTAACTTTATTTAAATCGTCACTGCTCCTACTTAATATATTACAGTTATTTTTAACTAAAACACTAGATAGCTATTTTTAAATAAAACAATGAAATTTAACCCACATTTGGGTTAAATTTGAACTGTTTTAAATTATTTAACTCTATTGTTTTAGTTAAAAATAACTGTCATATTAAGGACAGTGGCGACTTAAATAATTGGTTAAATTTGACCCTATGGATTTAACAGTGTGGGAGAAAGCGCGCCGAGTGCTCCGCGGAGATGATTATCGCGTTACGAAAGTGCTAAATGTGGAATTCGTTTGCGAGGGCAAAACGTGAGCGTAAAGTCAACATGTAATATATATGGCACATCATCAAAGGACATTTATTTCCAAATTTACTCCCATCAGCTGTTGCGCCCCGAATCCCCGGTCGATCGAGGGAGGATGACCCGATCGAGCGGAGGGAAGCATCCGGCCGCGTACTCGCGGTTGTTGTACTCACGGCAACAGGCGACTCAGCAGCCACGGTCGACTCGCTCGTCGACAGCGGCCGTCGCCGGTCGGAACGTATCCAGATCTGCAGCGCTTTTGCGAGCGCAGGGCGTGCACGGGTTTCACCGTGGTCGAGGAAGCTGACCCGGCTCCGTCCTCCTCTTCGCCCGGCTGACTCTTGTCGTCGTCGTCGTTATCCGCATTCGGCGTCGTATCGCTCGCGGTGCCGTTCGACGGATCAGCGCTCGGGATGCCCTCGCCCTGGGACAGCGTCGTATCGCCCGTCGCCGCGGCCGGGCTTGTGTTAGCGACAGACGCCGGGACGGACGAATTTTGCGACGGCAGCTGCTCGGGTACCTGCGTGATATCGTTCTTCTCCGTGCTCGTCGTCGCGGGACTCGTCGTGGTGGGCTTGTTGCCCGGCTTGACGGTAAAGTCTGCGTAATCGTAGAAGTAATCGTAGTCCTGCGAAGGCGAACACGACGTCGACGGTGAATATCAACATTTATCAGCGGTACTCAAAGCAATCTATTATTATTATTATGCAGCGTAAAACGCGAAATATGTAATTTGCATTTTTATGCATTTAAATGTACAAAATGTATTTTCTGAGTATAAAGTGTCTAAAATGAACTTTATAAATTGCAGGCTCGCTTCAATCTCGCATCGAACTCATGTACATGTAGAACCAATGTAACGCAGTTACAAACTGAAGAAAAGCTTCGACTGTTCCTTCAACGACGAAGTTTGGAGTAACGCAGCAAAATCAGAGTAGGTATATATCGTAGTATATATCGTAGTACAAAATTTATATGCTATCTCACAAATCTTCTCTACTGCTAAGGAAAGAAATGTGAGATAATTCGAGAAAAGAAAAAATGGGGAAAAAACACTACGAGAACAATGGAAAAGATTGCTTCCAATGGAGTTGGAGAAGAGGACTAAGAAAAAAAAAAGAGGATCTCTCTCTCTCTGCGAAAGGATTTACCGTGTAATCATCCAGGAGCTCGGAGTTGAGCAGCGCGATCACCTGCACGTCTTTCAGCTCGATTTGCACGTTCGTGTCGCCGGTCTGTCGCTGATCGTAGACCTTCCTGGCCGTCGCGGGGGGCGTCGCGGCGACGACGACGCGGCAGGCCGCGAAAATGAGGAGACCGCGTAGGGCGAGCATGATGATCACACGTCGATGCGGCTGCGATCGAGCCGGACGTGGCGAGGACTGAAAAATGGATAGAGGCGGACGCCGCGCGTCCGCGGGAGCCCGATCGCGGGCTGGTCGCCTCCGGCGGGAACCCGGCGCCGCGTCGCGCCGCGCCGCGCTGACGGGGTCGGCCGGTTCGCCCGCGCCTCGCGCCGCGGTACAAAAACCGGTATACACGTAACCTGTTACCCGGCTCGGGTGGACACCTCGAGCGTCGTCTCTCGTATTCCCCGCGTGTGTACTCTCTGTCACCTCTCTGTCCGCCGGCGAGTTTTCGCACGGCGACGAGTACGATGCCCGGCCGTTGCCCTCTCTCGCCGCGCGGCTCTATACGCGTTCTACCTTGACAGCCGGCCTTCGGAACGCGCCGCACAACATCGCGTGTGTACGCGCAATCGGATCGCCGCGCTCGCGTATATGTATGTATATATATTTTCGTATCGTACATTGTACCACGCCTCCGTGGCTCCGGTCGTCATCAGAAGTGTTTGCACGTGCCCGTGACGATCTCGACGAGAGGGGCCCCGGGCGAGACGGGCGGGACGGTAACGTCCACTTGTATTGGCACCCCGCCACGAGAGATTCACTCGGTCGAACGCTTCGTAGATATGTACAAATAAAGAGTAAAGCGGAATGAGAGGGAAACGAGAAGCGCTCTTGAAAGAATTGAGAGCCGGCCGTTTCACGTACCGTATCCTCGCCTCGTGAGTCTTTGCAATATGTATCGCTATTTGTAATTTGTTTGCGCCTCTCGATAAAATGTTTAAGTCTTTCTAACATGTGATCTTATCGTGAGATCGATCGCAGACTATATACGACTCGGTGAGGGAATATCTCTGCGGAACGATGCAGGAAGTCTCTCGCGTTGATTCGCATGTTAATTTTAATTATAAACGTATATCTCTATCTAAAACTTTGAATGACTTCAAAACTGAAAGTTTGAATTTCATGAATATATTATGTATAGTATCTACGCTTGTGTGTTATCATATAAATTAGAAAAGCGAAACAGAGGCGTCCCCCAATATAATAATCATTTTACCTCCTTCAGAGGTGTCAGGTAGAAATGTGACAAATAAAATTATCGGACACGAATAAAATATTATTTCAGGAAATAGAACTACATCTACGAGGATTACTTTTCAACAACAATCTGGCTTTTCTCCTTTTCACAAGCAATCTTATATTTTGGTATGCGTGATAAATCTCCCTGGCAAAAAAAAAGCGGATTACGCGCGTAAAATCAGATTTTAATGACATAAAATTCCGGCGTCAATCATTCGAAAAACGCGCGCGTTTAAGGCCAGCGGTTCCGCTCGCGACTCTGCACTTTTCTCCTCACCCCTCCCCCTCCCCTCTCACCCACGACGTTCGGAACGCGAAAGTGTATGTGAGAGATGCAACTAATTTCGCTCTTTCTCGTAGCTGAACTTTTCATATATTTTATTTCTCCTCTCTTTCCCTCCGCCGTCCAGTTTCTCCTATTCATTTCATCCCAAGTGTAAAAAATTATGGTACAGATATACAAGAAACAGTCTCTTCGGGGGAAAGAGGGGGGGGGGGTCGTGCAGACGGAAGTGCAGGTGCAGACGGCATTCCCGGAGTGGCACGCGCGCCGCTGCTGCACCTGCCTGCACCTCGCGAGCGTGCGTGTCGTAATCGGCGAACGATGCAAACAACGGTAATCTGTCACCTCACGCCGCAGCACGCCCGATTATAAATATGACGCCGAGGCGAGATGTCGCGCGCCGCCGCGTGCGCGCGTAGCGGCCCCGTGCAGGGTGCGGAACGTCGTCGCCGTCGTCAGCGGGACCGTCGCGCAACGTCGGGACCGTGTCGTCCTCGCCGCCGCCGCCGCCGCCGCCGCTGCCGTCCGGACCGAGGATCCCGCGGCGCAGCTTTTGACACTTTCGGCGCGGCGCCCCCGTTCACGCGCTCCCCGTGGGATGCGCGCCCGCCGCACTCGTAGCAGTGGTAGCGCATCGTCCGTTGTTTACCTTTCGGCCTGACCCTCGCGTCATCGGCGAACCCCTATCATGCTACGCGCTGACACGAACGATGCTCCAATTTTTTAAGAAGATTGGTAATTATAAACGTAGCACGTAGCTCTTGGCACGCCGCGACGTGGATTTACGTTATCGCCTCCCTTCGTCTAGCACGCGCAGGTCTCGCCATCGAGACTGACCTCCTGACATTTGCAACACGCAACACGTTTTCTTTCTCTCTCTCTCTCTTCCTTTCCCTTTTTCTTTCGCTACTGTCTCTACCGAGACTTTTGGAAATTGCCAGTCAATTGGCAATTATCGTCCATTCGAATTGGAACTTTGCCTATTTAATGCATGTATCTTTCTCTTGTGTACATTCAAAACTAAATTATGGTAAATGGCATGTTTACAACAGCACGGTTTCCTTCTTCATGCGCTTCAACTGAATACTGATTGACATTTAATTTTCGTGCGAATAAAATTGCGTTGAATTTGATGCTTGTAGGACAAAGGGATAAGTCCGGATTATCAGAAACCTCACCCACAAGATCGACGAGCTCGGGTAGCTTCCTGGCAGATGCATTCAACGGCGGCGCGTCGTCCATTCAGACGCCCTCGGGTGTGCTGTGCAATCTCGAGGAGGAAGAGGAGGAGGAGATCCTCGGCAATGACGTCGAGGAAGCGTGCGCCTTCAGCTCCCGGCTGTCCAAGGCTCTGCCGGAGGTGCTCAAGGACAAGAGCGCCCTGGGTTACTTCATCCAGTTTATGGACACCAGAAAGCGCATAGCCCTCATCAAGTTCTGGCTGGAGGTGGAGTGCCTGTGCAGCGCATCCGGGATGCCCGACGCACAGATAGTCAGACAGTCGAATCAAAAGGAGATGCTGGACGCCTTGCCTACTTCGTTGGACGATAACGAAAACTTCAGCTGCGACACGCTCGACGGCGGCGATGTAGATACGCGAACGGGCGGGGGGGTACCGTGCGACGAGAGAGCGGGCGATGCGACGTCCAACGGTATGCCAAAGACTAGTCAAACGGCGGGTGAAACGCGACAATCAAATCACGATTGCGGAGATAATAGGAGACACGACGCGACGACGACCAGGCAGGACGCTTTGAGAATTTACAGGAAGTACGTTCTCAAGGAGGCTCTGGGTGTAAATCAAATATCCGAGGAGTTGAAGCTAGATATGGAGAGGGCCATCGTCCAGGAAAACATTGAGCCTATATTACGGTGCCTATCTGCTGTTCAAAGCATAGTATACGATATATTAGAAAACGAGTGAGTGTGACGCATGTATTGATACGTGCCGTATCGAATAAATAGTATATATTAAAAAATTTATTTCACCTTTCGCAGGTATATTAATGATTTTTTACGAAGCGAATTTCACTGCAAGCATCAAATCGACGTGCTCACCAGTGGCAATGTACAACTAGCAGATATATTGTACAACGAGACAGCGTTCTTTTACTTTATGGAGGTTTGCATCGTATTTCTCAATCGTTACTTTCATAAAAAAAAAACTTTTGTAAGAAATTTCTTGCCATTCTTCACATTCTAGTTCATGGAACTCGAGAATAAGCGAGAGCTGTTGGATTTTTGGATGTCGGCTATAAGTTACAAACAGAATCTCTTGGAGAAGAAGGGAGCGGCTAATCCTGAAGAAGCGCAATCTGACGCCGTTATTATATATGAGAAGTAAATGTCTAAAATTCACCCGCACTAGATCTCTTATTTAGCCTTATTTATAATTTTATTGTATAATCAAACTTATATCTTGTTAGTCTTATTTATAATTTATTGTGTAATCAATTTCAAGAGTCTTTAATTGGTTTTAATTTCTAAAATATTACGCGAGTAGACGCGAAGAAAAAAAAAAGGAAAATCTATACGAATTGTTACTGTTCTCACAGGTATTTTAGCTTACAAGCGACCATGCCTCTTGGATTTAGCGACAAGATTCGTTTCCATGTGGAGCAGAATATCTGCCGCGAGGACGCGGGTGGCCCACAGCCGGATTGTTTCGATAGACCCAGTAAAATTGTATATAATTTTCTCAATAAGGTACGCTCACACATTTATTGCACACACAGATTTGTCTACAACACACACCGGCGGCACGCGCTACACAGACTCTGGCTCGCGTCAAGGTAGTTGTATTAAATTCAATACTCTCTTCCAGCATTATCTCCCGGCGTTCTTATCGTCACAGCTGTATTATAAATACTTATCGGAGCTAATCAGCACGATTCAGACCAGTCCGTGTCCGAGTTTACATTCCAAGATAAGAAGAACAGGTTGGTGTCGATCGTCGATTCCAATAACACATTACTAATCTTGAAAGATATTAAAGAATGTATCTTCAAAAATATTTATGTTTTCACTTGCAGGTTCAGATTGCAGCAGCGAAGTAAGCTCCGTGTGTACTAGTATGCCAAGTATTTCTCAAATAGGAAATAATGGCAGCAGATTACCTGATAATAAGAAAACTATCAGTAGTCACTTGAACATCGACACCAGGCAACTTTACGATCCAGATTCCCTGTGGCGACGTAATAAATATAGGTATTGAACAGTTTAGCACACAATACTAAGTTCTGTACTAATTTGTAAGTCACAAATAATTCGATGTACTTTGTAGGTTGAGCATTGGTTACGTCGACTACTTAGGTAGATTTATTACTGAAATCGAGCCAGATCCTCAAAGGAAATATGGTAAGTCACATTCAAATTTGAAGTCTAAGCTGACGTACATATGAGATTGTATAAACTCACACGTCCATGAATTTCAGAATCTCGCCTAACTCGTGTTGTAAAACGATTTGTAAATATAGAACAAGATAAGGTAAATATTTTACAGTACACTGTACCTCTACAATACTTTCACAAATAAAAGTACTTTTAAAGTACTCTATCACATGTAAATAAATTATCCCCATTCCTCTTTTATTAACGAATCATTTTAATATTATATACTATACTTTTAAAGTATTAAAATGATTCGTTAATAAAAGGAGTAGGGATAATTTATTTACATGCGATATGCATTCAATTAATGCTCAATTATTACTCACTGTTACGCACAGGCTAAAGAGGAGTTAGCATGGAGAATCGCCGAGATGATCATTCGTGAAATCACGTCTCTAACGCTTGGCGCTTCGAATCTTCCCTCTTGATGGTGTGAACTTGACCTGATGATTCTGAGGCTTAATTTTTCCTCAAGTATAAGATATCTTATGTATTTTTGTGTGTAAGTAAAGCTTTGTCTTTTTATTTTAAATGTTAAATGTTTAGCGTAACAATGCTGCAGACTTTGCCAAAGTGCCAACCCGATAAATGAAAAATTCATTTTGTAACACAAGACATCTCAAAAAGGAAGTATGTAGTAATCGCGTAATACTCTCGTAAATTCTGATGTTTTTTACATATTTTCATATTTTGCATCTTGGCATAACAACGAAACAGAGACTTGAATTTGCTAATCAATCCGAATTTACAATTTATGTAAATAACTTTATTAGAAATCGATATAATGTATATTTTAGTATCTTTACAATTCGTTGCATAAAATAATTTATAAGAAGAATCTTATAAGCAGCATAATCTGTAATATTTTTTGTAACTATTAAAGATCTTCCTATTCTATTAATTTATTATAAAATACTCGATGAGCAGAGAACAATAATTTTACGAATTCGCTATTCCTCCATCAGTCATCGTCAATTGTGATCCCAGAAGCGAGAAAATCAAATGAGATTCTTTTACCACTTATATTTATATGAATAAAAATCTTCATTCATGAAGAAATACTCATAGAATATGATAAAACAGATTTATAGTTGTGTCTGTCAAAATATATATAGAATATTTACAGTGATTTTCAGAAACTTTTTTCATTCTGTCTGAAATCATAGCAGTCATCTTTAGTTATTTTCATTCAAATTTGTCGATATCGTTCAATATTATTTTTCTTCTGACGAACTAATGCATAAGATGACTAATGCAGACATTGACGAATTCTTAAAGTATAAGATTTTGTACTTTTTTCATTGCCAATTTATACGATGCAGTTGATGTTAAAATAAGTGAAATGAAAATATATGTGAATGAGATATACATATGTACATATAATGATGCATGTGACCGCGCCGTTGAACGTGATATTATGATATAGAAGAAGATATATATTTTAACAGTATTTAGAGCGTATAACACGTAATGTTTAAGTACAAAATGTTATTAATAATGAGACCCCTATTATACATATGCTCTACTTCTATTTTGTTATATCTTTTTATTTATGAGACCATTATACAACGCATATTATAAAAAAGAATATTTATCTTTTAAAAAGGCACCTTATCTTTTAAAAGTAATTAAGTAGTTCGTTTATGTAAATCTTCTGTTTAAAAAACTTCTGCATAATGCGATTCCTTTTCGTTTCATATCCTTTTCGTTATTACAATTGAAAATACCGATTCTCTACAACTCTATATGTCTTAATATTAACAAATTACGTCTATCGACTTTGTGTTTATTATCGTGAATGTATAATGTATAAAAACTATTTTAATACAATTTCTCTGTGTAATATATTAAAAGATTCTATTTTATACAATATTTCTGTTATCGCAAGATCTTTTCGAAAAACTTTTTAATAAAATATTGCTTTATTCATGTCGAGACGTTCTCTGAGAAATCTTGCAAAAAAATCGCGCCTAAGCGGAAATGTGCGAGTCTGATTTTATAATATGTAAGAACTGACTTCATATATTAAATCTTTCTTTAACACTACGATATGGCATGATACTATTTACACTTTCTCGACAGTCTGGCAGTAAAATATCATAGATTCTTACAGGGACGAAGATCCGTTTATACTGATGTGCGGTATTTTCTGCTTGTATCCCGTTCGTGGATTCAGCAACGGAGACGATTCGGAAACGTGCACGTCGGTGTCTATCTTGGCATTCAGATTCATATTTATGCTCGACTTGAAATCTTGGCAACACTCAAAACGTAATTTCTCCCGTCTGGTCCACGATTGATAGACGATCGCGTTAAAGAACGCTTGGAGGGGATTCGTCACAGCCTGTGTCGATTAGAAATTGCCTCGATCAATTTCTGTACGTATTTATCCGTGCCACTTAAAAATGAACTACACGAAACTTACCATTATGTACCACAAAGTGATGATCGCCCGGATCGGCAGCTTAAACCACAGGGTCCACAGTAGTATCCCGTTAATTAGATTGGGCGTCCAGCACACGTAGTAGACCAGATTGATGAGCGCGAATTTCAGCCTGATCGTCTGTATCAACCTCCGCTCCCGGCTGGTCATCTGCGCCATGCTGTGCAGAACCACCGTCTCGAGGTCCCGAGTCGACGCGACGTACAGAATGGGATTCGCGATCATTACCACCGTCAGCAGCACGTAAGTGGCGAAGTAGTTCGGAAGGATGCGCAATATCGCACTCGACAACGACGTCAGGTTGTGGCAGCTGCAAGACATATACGCATTTGTGTTAGCCGTCGCTTTGCCGTTTTGCAAAACAAAAAAAAAACTTTTGCGGCCGCAACTTTCGGGCGGTACTTCTGAAATCTGACTTTGCATCGGGAATGTAGAGAGTGATCAGCCCGAACGACGTGAGGAAGGCGGGAAGCACCCAGGCCAAGATGTGATAGCACTTGGGACACCCGTTTTTGTCGCCCAGCAGCAGCTTCATGTCCACCGCGTAGCACAACGTCCATATCCACGTGGCCATGTAGAAGTACTGAATCCACGCCTGCGAGCAACAATTTCTCTCAGTTCCGTCCCGCAAACTTTCCGTACACCTCTGTCGAGCATACGAGAGTGTGCAACATTTACCGACAACACGGCGCAGAACACCACGTTCGACATGTCGCCCTCCATCGGCATGATGGACTTGAAATTCCTCCATAGCGCCGATCTCACGAATACACCTAATCGAGTACCAAACAATCAGATAAGATATCTAGTCTACCCATCTATCGCATCATTGTATTCGCTGATCAAAAGTAACTGTAATTAATTTATGTACTAATAATGCACTATCGGCATAATCAAATTGCAATAACAAACTAGACCTAAGGACGCTAAGAGATCGGCAACAGCGAGCCATACAATAATATCTCGTCCTCTGAAGAATCTCCTCCAACGATAGGAACTATTCGAATCCTCTCGGGGTAGTATCTGAAAAAATATTTTCCCTCAATTCTTAACGATGCCAATTTTGCTTTAATATTTTCAGGTATCTCTATCAATTTTACAATAACATTGCATGTGCAAATATATATTTTTCATTATGGCTATAATTAAACATTAAAAATATGTAAAATTATATTTCCCACTTTATTTAGATTATATTATCAAATATCACATATATGTATATGTCACAATTATTTAATAATATAAATACTTTCATACCGGTTTCTTTTAGCTGCACTTTTCCGTACACTTGCCACGTGGTAGAACAGGATAAATGTATATGCGGCGGAGAAAGAGAGAAGAGGCGAGGTATAAAAAGTGCAACCAAAACAAACGCATTGTGACAGAAAAGTTTCAATTTTTGAGACAATGTTTCTCAACGATTGATTCCGATCGTAATAAAGAAAGACTTGGGTCAATTCCCCCTCTGTTAGTTGCACGAATTAATTAAAAAAAAAATAAACGAATCGGCGGAGGGGAAAGCTCGCTCGCGGGGGCAACATGATAAACTGCTCGGAGATTTACCTGGTAAATCGCGCCTATCATGCCCATCGCCGACGAGAGCATGCACACCGTGTTGTACGCGTCCGTATTGAATTCCTCCATTATCGCTATCGCCCTGTCCGTTCGATTTGTGTGATGACAGCAAAACGTTTGTAGGGTCGGGTCGGCCATTGTTATCGGATATATGTTGTCGCGGTCGAGTCCAGCGTGCCTCTGCTCCGCCCGACTATCCTACTCGATCTAGTAACTCCGATAAAGACAAAACCGGAGTCGCTGCCCCACTCCGGCAAGCCGGCAGCCAGTCGATACGCGCTCGAGATATGAACTTTTGCTTATGATAAACGAAATATGTATATATTTCTGATACGAAACTGTCGGTGGAAATTTTTTTTTCTTTTTTTTCTTTATTGCAGCTTGGACAGATTTATCCATTACAGTCTGGCAATAAAAGTAATCCTATATAAATAATATACAAAATATTTTTTTCTTATTTTTGAATGCGTCACACGTTAAATTAATTGAATCA